GGCTCAGGTCATGATCCTGAAGTCCTGGGATCGAGTCCCGCATCGGGCTCCCTGCTCAGCAGGGAGTCTGCTTCTCCCCCTCCCGCTCCCCCCTCTTGTGCTCTCTCTCTCTCTCAAATAAATAAATAAAATCTTTTTAAAAAAACAAATAATTAAAAAAAATAAAAAGGGTACATTCTGCATGGAGCACTGGGTGTTATATACACAAACAATGAATCGTGGAACACTACATCAAAAACTAATGATGTAATGTATGGTGATTAACATAACAATAAAAATTTTTTAAAATGCTCATGCTATCCACTGGGAGAAAATAAATTCCAGATTTATTTAGCATGGACATAATTTGACAAAGGATTTCCACCATAATTTCAGTACTAATTTACTTGCTATGTCAATATATCTGTAGTACACCTAACAACTATGATGGAGATTAAACAATGAATGGCATTTATCTGCAGCATTTATAAAAAACAAAACAAAAATATATTTAAAGCTAAAAATGTCTTTGTAAGCATTGGTTGGATTGCGTCTCACAAGACTTGTTATGTCATACTTTCATGATCATTCAGCTCAAAATATTTTCTGGTTTCCATATTATGATTTGGTTTTGACCTATACTTATTTATTTTTTTCCTTTGATTTATTTTTTTATTATTATGCTATGTTAGTCACCATATAGTACATCATTAGTTTTTGATGTAGTGTTCCATGATTCATTGTTTGTACCTATACTTATTTAGAAGTGAACTTTTTATATTTGGAAACATTTGAGAAATATCTGTTTTTAAGTTCTAAATTAATTCCAAGGGCTTCAGAATATATGCCTTCTTTTTGATATTAATTATTTGAAATCTATAGATGCTTGTTTTATGGCCCAGAATATTCTGATAAATATATTGTGAGCATTTGAAAAGAACATATAGTCTATAGTTTGGGAGTATAATGTTCAATTAGGTCAATTTGATTAATCTTGTTCAAACTTCTATGGCCCTGCTGATTTTTTTTTTCTCTTCCTGTTATTGGTTACCAGTGGAGGGTACTAAACTCTCAAACTTCAATTATAACTTTGTCTATCCTTTAATTTTGTTGACTTTTGCTTTATGTATTTTAAAGCTATGTTATTAGGTACATAAGAAATGTAGGACTACCATTATATTCTTCTTGAATTGTATGAATGTCTCTATTACTTTTAATACTTCTTGCATTGAAGCCTATTGTATCTGTTATTAATACACTAATACTAGCATTTTTCTTATTACTGTCTCACATATTTGTCTTTGTGTTTAAAGTATATTTCTTATAAGCAGCATAATTGATCCTGTTTTTCTTTTTAATCTAATCTGACAATCTTAGATTTTAATTGCAATGTTTAGTACATTTACATTTTACTACAATTACTGGTAAAATTTGGTTTAAATCTGTCATTTTGAAATATATTTTGTTTGTCCTGTTCATTCTTTATTTCTTTATTCCTCTTTTCCTGTCTTCTTTTGTATTAATCAGGTATTTTTATTATTTCATTTTATCTCTTCTATTAGGTTTTTCTGGTTGTACATCTTTGTATAATTCTTTTAGTAGTTAACTGAGCTATTACAGAATGCATCTTTGAGACAGTCTCTCTTAAATTAGGGCTTTTACTACATATCAAATAATATAAGAACATTTTAATAGTTTAACTCTATTTATGCTAGTATTGTCATTTCTTCTTCCTATATTACAAGCACCACAAGAATTATTATTTTTGTTGCTTTAAACAGTCCATTTGTTTAGTCATATTAGTCATATATTTACTATGTCATAGTTTTTTGCACATGCTTCCACCTGGGATTATTTGCCTTTAGTCTGACTGCTATCCTTTAGTATTTCTCATATTGTAGGTCTGTTAATAAGAAATTGTCTAAGCTTTTGTTAGAATTCTAAGATCTTTCTTTCACTTTCATTTATGAAAGATATTTTCTCCGGGTATAAAATTAACAGTTGTCATTTTTTTCTTTCAATACTTTAAAGATATAATTCCATTCTTCAGGCCACTGTAGTTTCTATTGAGACATGAACTTTTTCTTATAACTGATACCCTATTTTATTTTATATTTTATTATTTTATTTTATTTATCTTATCTTATTATGTTAGTCACCGTACAGTACATCATTAGTTTCTGATGTAGTGTTCCATGATTCATTGTTTGTGTATAACACCCAGTGCTCCATGCAGTATGTGCCCTCCTTAATACCCATCACCAGGCTTTTTTTTAAATACATACTATTATGATGTATTTGTAAACTTTGTTTTTCAACACTTTGGCCACGCTGTGCCTAGGTATGGATTTCCTTATTTTATCTGGTTAGGTTTGATGAGTTTTTTAATTTATGTATCAAAACATTTCATGAGATTTGTGATGTTTTTGTCCATTATTTCTTCAAATAAATTTTCTGTTCTATATTTTTAGGTTTCCAATTTCATGGTTTGACTGTCTCCTATATTTCTTTTTTTTTTTTTTAAGATTTTATTTATTTATTTGAGAGAGAGAATGAGACAGAGAGAGAGCATGAGAGGGGGGAGGGTCAGAGGGAGAAGCAGACTCCCTGCTGAGCAGGGAGCCCGATGCGGGACTCAATCCCGGGCCTCCAGGATCATGACTGAGCCGAAGGCAGTCGCCCAACCAACTGAGCCACCCAGGCGCCCTGTCTCCTATATTTCTTTTGTATTTTGCTCTGTTCTTTCCTTTTTTTCTCTCTGCATAAGATTATTGTTAATTTGACTTTACATTGACTACCCAATGCATTCTTAATTTTCAATATTATATTTTAAGTTATAAAGTGTTCATGTGAATCTTTAAGATTCTAAATCTCTATTGATACACTTCATTTTGTATTCTGACTGAGCCAGCCAGGCACTCCCCACCCCCCCTTTTTAAGTAAGCTCTACATCCAACATGGGGCTTTAACTTACAACCCTGAGATCAATAGTAGCATGCTCTATCAACTGAACCCATTTTGCACCCCGTTTTGCCCATGTTTTCCTCTATTTTTTTTAGCATCTTAGTCATAATGTTTTCAAGTCCTTGTCCACTAGCTCCACTATGTAGGTCATTTCTGGGTCTGTTTCTACTGAGATTTTTTTTTTTATGTTATGTTAATCACCATACATTACATCATTAGTTTTTGATGTAGTGTTCCATGATTCATTATTTGCATATAACACCCAGTGCTCCATACAGAACGTGCCCTCTTTAATACCCATCACCGGGCTAACCCATCCTCCCACCCTCTATTGAGATTTTTTTTCTTGATTATCAGTTAACTTTTTCCTGTTTCTTTGCATGTTTAATATTTGTTATTGTAAGGTGGCATTGTGGATAATATATTATACAGATTCTGGATTATGTTATCTTTCTTTAATGAGTTTACTTCAGGGTTTTTCAAACTTAGTGCTGTTGATATTTTTGGCTAGATAATTCTTTGTTGTGGGGGGCTTTCCTGTGCGTTATAGGATGTTTAGCAGCATCCCTGGTTCTCTACCTAATAGAAACAATGGCACCCCTTCCCACATTTTGACAACCAAGTATGTCTTCAGACATTGCTGAATGTTCCACTATTGAGAACCAGTGGTCTGTACAATCATTTTCAAAGTCTACTTCATTTTCCATTGTATGAATGCACTATAGTTTATTTAATTAACCACCCATCTAAGTACCTTTAGATTTAGTACCTTTAAATTTCTCTCCAGTTTTTTTAAAAATTTTCACTAGTATCTATCATATTCCTTTCTTCATCTCTAGGCACATTTTACAGTTATTTCCTTTGGATGGAGATTCAGAAATCACCTTTCATGGTTAAATTCTTATGCATAATTCTGCTTACATGTCTCAAGTGCCCTAGGTTTTCACAAGTCTACAGGACACCATAACAATGCTCCGTTCCCTACAACCTTACTATATGTGGTGCATCATCAACCTTTACAATCTGAAAATTGAATACTTATAAATGATGGTACCTTATTACTTAAAAACATCTCTTTAGTAAATCTTTTGATAGGTGATGTCTTAATTACCTGTTCTTAAGTTTCACACATGGGAACAAAAAATCTGGGTTTAAAAGGCAATAGTTGGAGAAATATTGGCCTTATAACTATAGAAATGCGATTCAAAACACATCACTTCTCTTTATTGTTTGTGATATGGGGATATGTCTTTAATTGTTTGAACTTTCATTTTTTCATCTGTTGAACTGAGATAATAACTACATTGTGGAATTAAATGTCAATGTGTATAGACTACCTATCACATATAAGGTTGCAAAAAATCTATGTGCTGCTATATGGTTTCAGTAAGAATGAATTCACTCCTCTCTAGTGGGTACTGGGTGGGTTGGTTGCTGAGGCACAGGGAATGACTCACGCCGGCAAAGTAGATCCTGATCGGGAAATCCAGGCTGGTTAGCCCAGAGGATCTTGGGAATCATAGTTCTGGCTTAGGGGAAAGGCTTCACATGGGCAGGCAGTTTTCAGTGGTCAAGATTTCCAGGTTGGTCCCTACTGTTTTCTGTCTTTTATCTGGTGCAAAAGATTTCATGTCCAGGTCCATCCCAAAGACATGAAGGTTGTTGCAGTTTGTGTTGTGTGGTTTGGTCTTTACCCTGGAAGATACGCCTGGATGAGGATCTATTCAGTATCACTGAACAACCAAGGCTGGGTTCAGTTGGCTTGATAAGTATGAGAAATAAAGCAGTGTGGGTATCTGGATCTAGCTTTGGTGCAAGAGTGCCTCTGTTCTGTATCCACTCTTATGTGGCTTGTATCTGTAGGTATGGGGAAGGGCTTGGGTTTGTCTAGACTTCACATATCCCCTGACATGTGTTCATGTGTTTGGGAGGGTAGAGAGTGGGCAAGGACAGTGGGAAGCAGGAATAAAGAAGAACGAAGAAAGGTTATATTACCTTAAATAATTTTTGGAGTTCTGAGATACACCAGATCTCAAGGCCTCTTTTTCCTCTCCCAGCTCTGGCTTCTCTGAAATCGGCCTCTCTGATAGACGAAACCTGAGGAAGATCAGCAGTTTGAAAACCATGGCCCAGGTAAGTGGATGTCTGTCTCCCTCCTGAAATCCTATGATTTTTAACTCAGGTAAAACTTTCATTCTTTATCCCCATACTTCCTACCTAGGAAAGCTGTATCTCTGACCCTATTTCATGGTTTCTCCCCTCACAGAGAAGGATGGTGTCCTCCTCATTTGCTCCCTTTTTTTCTAACTGATTTTCAATTATTCATCTTCTATGTGTTCAGTCTTTTCTCAAGAGCAGTGTTGGAGCAGTGCACGAGTGAAGTACCTTGAAGGAAATATTTGAGCTTCCTTTGTCAGGTTTGTGGTTTTATTTTATAGAAATGATGGTCCTGGGGCACCTGGGTGGCTCAGTTGGTTAAGCATCTGACTCTTGATTTTGGCTCAGGTCATGATCTAAGAGTCGTGAGATCGAACCCCATGTTGGGCTCTGTGCTGGGCATGGAGTCTGCTTAAGATTCTCTCTCTCCCTCTTCCTGCCCCCCCACAAAAAAAGGAAAGGAAAATAAATGGTGGCCCTATCTGACCACAGGAGAGAAAACTTTCTCCTTAGTTTTCCAGGAAGATAAGGGAGTTTGGGGTTATGAATGGTCTCAGACTCAGGTGTGAGATGAGAACTCAGCTTTGAAAGCTTTTAGGTTTGGGTAGAAATGTTATTGGTGCCTGCTGAGAGAGAGACAGACAGACAGATATCAGGGCCCTGGCTACAGAAATCACTGAGAATTTTGTATTGAAAGAGAAATTGCTGGTCTTGAGTAAATCAGTATTGTTCTGATCATCCTACATTAGTGTGTTCTAACTAGGAACAGGAGTTCAGTAAGGGATTGTAGAAAGGAAGATCATCTAGAACTACAAGTGGTAGATGATACTGAACAGTGGGGAAGAGGTTAGAATTTGTGTCCAACCTAAATATCGTAATAGTATAATACTTTAAAATTTAATATTACTTTAATAATATTATTAATAATACCTAATACTTTAAGAAAGATTAAATCTGATGTCTTTAAGAGGGGCTAAATGAAAACATTAACTTGTGAGAATAAAGGAACTGCTTATGATGCATAATCTGACATATATTATGCTTTGATAAAATTACTTAATTTTACACAAACTCCATTTCCTAAGATAGAAACTTTTTATCAGCTTTTTGAAGTATAATTGATATATAATTAAGTGTATGTATTTTATCTTTTTAAAGCAGATTTATTGAAATATAATTGACAATAAATTGCTCATATTTAAAGTGTAGAATTTGATAAATTTTGACTTATGTATATACCTGTGAAACTATTACCACAGCCAAGATAATGAACATATCCATCATTCCAAATTTTTTCTCATGCCCCTTTATAATTGCCCCTTCCTACCTGCCCCCAAACTTGCCCTTCATGCCCAGGCAACTGTTCTGCTTTCTGCCACTATAGGTTAATTCGCATTTTCTAGAATTTTATATAAATGGAATCATACATCATGTGTCCTTTTTAATCTTATTTCATTCAGCATATTTATCTTAAGATTCATCCATATTGTTACATATATTAGCTCATCCATTTAATTGCTGATTAGTATTCTATTCTCAGTATATACAAAAATTTGTCTATCCATTCCTCTGTTGGTGGATTTTTTAGTTCTTTCCACTTTTTGGCTATTAGAAGTAAAGCTGCTTCATGCACAAACTTTTGTGTGGACATATGTTTTCATTTCTCTTGGATAAACACTAGGAGTGGAATGACTGGGGAATATGGATGTTTAACTTTTTAAGAAATCAGTAAACTATTTTTCAAAGTGATTTACCATTTTACAATCCCACCATCAGTGTATGAGAGTTCCATTTTTTTTTCACATCTCCGGCAACACTTAAAATGGTCAGTCTTAAATTTTAGCCATTCTAATAATTGTGTAGTAATACTGTCTCCTAACAGTAAGCCACTCATAAGCAATCATAAGGCTCACTTCATTTGTTACTTGTCTCTCAGGGATCACTACCCAATATTTTCTGCCTCAAAAACCATTGTTTCATACAATTTGTCTATGTTTTTTGTTATTTCACATGGGAGGGTAAATCCAATCCATGTTACTCCATCTTAGCTGTAAGAGATTTTATAATTCATTTTGGAGAAAAAATGAACAATTCTTTTTACATAGTCCTTGAAGAGAAAAGACATAAGAACTTGTATTTACTAATAGTATGTGAATCGGGTACATAGTAGGTAATGTTCTTATATATACTGTTTCATTTAATTGGGAAAGTCTGTTTACTTTATTCATTTTCATACATTTAGGTATTTGAGTTTTCCTTTATTTTTAAAGAAATTTTGTGCACTCCAACAGGATTCTTCAAGACTGTGTTGGTACTCTACTTCAGAAGCTAATGTATTTATTCTCATCTAATCGTGTCATGATCTTGTAACTTCAGCTTATTTGTTTTTCTATATTGCCCCCTTACTGCAATTCGGTCATTCCATCTTGAACATTTTTTCTTTACTGTTATGAATAATACATGGGTTTGTCTTTGCAGGTGCCATTGACATTCAGTGATGTTGCCATAGACTTCTCTCAGGAGGAGTGGGAATGCCTAAATTCCGATCAGAGGGATTTGTACAGAGATGTGATGTTGGAGAATTATACTAACTTGGTCTCACTGGGTAAGGACATCTGCCTGAAGTGATGTAGAATCTGCTATCTGGAATAGCTGCTTTCTCCACTGTATATTTTATGCTCTATGCCGAGAAACTAGATAAATTTCTCCATATTCATATTCTCCATATTCTCAGAGCCTAGTTTGACTTTTGTTAGATGGAAATGGGCATCTCCATTCAGCACCTGAATCTTTTCTTTCATTTACCTTCCTACCTCCCTCTGCCCCATCCTGCAATTCCTTCTTTTTCTAAAATAAAGATTTGAATTCTAGGATTTTTTCTGAATAGCCAATGGCAAAGAAAACAAATTTCATATTATGTGTATGTTCAGAATATCTACAAATATTCCATTTTAATTGCTGGTCCACCTACATGGAAAACAGGTAACATGGGGTCCTGGTTTTCTCTTTGCTACAAATGAACCTTGGTAATTTTTACAGTGTAGAATAAATCAAGAACATTATCTTTTTAGTATTATTTTTATACTTATAGCAATGGAAATGTTGGCTTGCAGTGATTTTATAGTTTCTACTAAGAAGTGAAAGTCTTCATTCAGTTTTTGAAAAATACTTGACCATTCTTTCCTCTCTTCTGGGACTCCAGTTATACCTATGTTAGATCTTTTGAGTGTATCTCACAGTTCTATCATGTATATATCTCCTTTTATCTCTATTATTTTCTGTTGACCTGTATTTCAGCTCACTTACCTGTATTCTGCTATGATAAGTCTGCTCTTAAAGATGGGTTTTTCATATCATATGTTGTCTTTTTCAGTTCCAGAAATTCAATTTGTCTTATAACATCTAATTTTATATAAATTCTTCTCATTCTTTATTTACTTTCTTTCATTACTGTTTTTTCATCTGTGGGCATGCTTATATTTCTTCTTTGCTCTTGTTATTCATCATATGGTAATTCCTCTTCAAGTTACTAGTAATTGTGATTGTATGCTGGATATTGTGTACAAAAGAACTGAACGGGGGCACTTGGGTGGCTCAGTCGGTTGGGCATCTGACTCTTGGTTTCAGCTCAGGTCATGATCTCAGGGTTGTGGGATTGAGCCCCGCTCGATTGGGCTCTGTGTTTGGCACAGAGTCTCCTTGTCCCTCTCCTCCTGTTTCTCCCCCCTGCTTTCTCTCCCTCTCTCTCTCTCTGTCTCTCAAATAAATAAATAAAACATTTTTTAAAAAAAAAATAACTGAATGGTTTCCGGTGATGGTATATTCCACCAGAGTATTTATACTTTCCTCTATTAATCGATAGAGTGGCAGGCTGATCACTATAATATAATCAGGGATTGAGCTGGGTTGGTGCTGGTTTTCAGTTTTGGTAATTCTTAGTTACCTTTTTTTTTTTAAAATCACTGCCTTTACTGCTAGCTGTACTCAGAATAAGTAAGTTTCTGCAGGGGAAAAGTGGTAGATCCTCAGGGCCAATTCACCACTTCTTCATGGCTCTTATTGTTTATGTGTTTTGATTTCAAGCTTCCTCTCCCAATGGATCTTTTGATTCCAGAAGAAATATTGAAAATTAATAAGCTGATCATCCATTTGATATGCCAGGAAAAGAAGAGCACAACAGACTTAAAGAAAGTGGAAGAAAGGAAATAATAAAGGAAAGAACGGAAATTAATGAAATAAAAACCAAACATACAAAAGAGCAAGTCACAACTATAAATTTGGTTCTCTCAAAGAATGAATAAAAGTGGTGCAACTCTATCAACATGAATCAAGAAAAAAAAATTTATGTAAGGAAAAAAGGCACCACATTACAAACCATGAAGCCTTGAAAATATGGTATTTTGAAAAACATTTTGCCAAAAACTTTGAGAAATCAAATGAAATAAATCATTAGAAATTTTTAATCTATAAAAAATTCCACTCAAGAAAAAAAACAAAACAAAACAGGGCACCTGGGTGGCTCAGTCAGTTAAGCGTCTGCCTTTGGCTCAGGTCATGATCCCAGGGTCCTGGGATCAAGTCCCACATCTGGCTTCCTGCTCAGCAGGGAAGTCTGCCTCTACCTCTCCAACTGCCTCTCCCCCTGCTTATGCTCTCTCTCACCCTCTCTCTCAAATAAATAAATAAATAAAATATTAAAAAAATAAAAGTAAAAACAGCTCTTTCAATATCCTTATCTACTAATTATATTATCTGTATCATTCCTTGTTGTATTTCTTTTGATTAATTTTCTCCTAGTAAGGGTCATACTTTCCTGCTATTTTACATGCCTAATAATTTTTTATTAGATGCCAGACATTGTGAAGTTTACTGTGTTGGGATGTTGGATTTTCTAATATTCTTTTACATATTTGGGCTTTGTTCTTGGATGTAGGTATGTAATTTGGAATCTGTTGATCCTTTCATGGTTTGCTTTTAAGCTTTGTTAGGGTGGGTCCAGAACAGCTTTTAGTCTAGGGCTAACTTGGCCCCACTACTGAGGCAATATCCTTCTGGGGACTATGTTTGATGCCTTGTGTGGTATGGGGCCTTTCCACTGTGGTTGGTGGAAACAAGAACTATCCCCTGCCCTTTGTGACTTCTAGGGGATGTTCTGCCTACTCCTATCTAGTAGTACATTTTTTGTTCTCATTAGTTTCCTCATACAGATGCCCAGATTCACATTCAGCCACAGTATCAAGGGGATTCCTCTACAGATCTCCAGAGATCTCTCTGTGCAGCTCCCTCCTCTCTAGTACTCTGCCTTGCAAATTCTGTACTTCTTTCTTTCCCTTAATTCTCTACTCTGTCTTCTCAACTTGGGGATACAGCTGCACTTAGTTTCTCCTCCATGTGCTTCTTTCTAGAAATTCTCTTTAGACAGTCAGCTGTGGTACTTGTGGGGCACACTTCATTTGTTTCCCCTCCCTCGGGAGATTTCTATCCTGTACTATTTTCCAATATTTGAAAGATGTTGTTTCATATTTTTTGTTTGGTTTTCTAGTTGTTTAAGGTAGGAAGGCAAATTTGATCCCTCTTAATGTTACATGACCAAAAGCACAAATTATTAACTCTGTCTTTGAAAGCTTCTTTGCACTCTAGTACAAGAGGTCTTAGATTCACCTTGTATCTTCCCTGCCCTGGACTAGGAATTAGCTATTTCTCTAAGGCACCCTCATTAACATCAGTGGGAAATAGTTTACAGGGACTGAAACCTGGACAACAGGGAAGCTAATTGTAATCACCTTTTTGTGGGATAAATATACAATTTTTAAAACTATTCTGTGAAAATTGGTCTGTTTAGATTTTCCATCTCTTCTGGAATCTGTTTCTGTTATGGTCTTACTTTTATTCTGAAATAATTTTAGATTCACAGATTTACAAATGTGGTACAAAGAGTTCCAGTATATAATTCCCATAATGATAACATCTTACATAACCATGGTACATTTGTGAAAACTATCAAATTAACATTTTACAATACTATAAATATTTTATTTAGATTTCACCAGTTTTGGCACTAATGTCTTTTTTTCCGTTTCAGGATCCAATCCAGGATACCACATTACTTTTAGTCATCCTGTGTCCTTAGTTTCCTCCAAATGTAACAGTTTCTGTTTTTCCTTCTTTCTTGACCTTGATACTTTTGAAGATACTGTGTGGTTAGTAGAGTGCCTCCAAATTTTGGTGTGTTTGGTGTTTTCTTATTATTAAACTGAGATTATGGATTTGGGGGAAGAATACCAGAGAAGTGCCCTTCTCATTGTATATTAGGGGCACATGATATCAACATGATTTATCAGTGGGGTGCTAACTTTAAAAACTTGTATAAAGTGGTGTCTGCCGGTTTTCTTCATTGAAAAGTTATTATTTTTTCCCCTTTTCATATTTTACTTGTTAGAAGCAAGTCAGTAAATTTAACTGGGGTCAGTTTTTATAAATTATATTTTCAAAAAATTCATCGTTTCATGTACATCTCAAATCTATTTGCATAGTTATCTTGTATGGGTTTCTTAAACATCTTTTATTTCCTTATTGATGACTGTTTCCCTACTGTCATTGTGTTTAGATTTTCCTCCTATCTTTTGTTCCTTGAATAGGTAGGCTACTGGTTTGTTTGCATGTGTTAATTGTACAATTTTACTTAAAATTTGTTTTTATTATATTCATTTCCCTTTTTCTGTTTTCCTTCAGCAGACTATCATTCTTTTTCTAATTTTTGATTTAATATTTAATTCATTCATTTTAATTCTTTAGTTTTTCATTAGATGTAAGCCTTTTAGTCTATGAGTTTGCAGCACTACAGTTAAAGGCCATAGATTGGTAAATGATAACCTTCTATGGTTAAAGGCCATAGAAGGTAAATGATAGAAAACATATTTTACTGTAATAAGGTATGAGAGATTAATCAGGGAGAGATGGTGGATAACTGTTGCATAATTTTCAGAAACTAAATGGATATTTTACTCAGTTGCCTTCCCCAGTAACCTTAATTTTCATTCTTATTTACTTTTACCTTCATCCAAGTTCATTTTTAAAATTCAGTATTTTATCCTACAATTAATATTTACCTTGTGGTAAGGACTTGTTTTGCAGTAGTAGTTAAAAGAAGTTTTGAGTTTTAGAGTAAGAAAATAAGCAGTAAAACAAATGAGAAAATAAATATGTAATAGAGAAAAGTATTTTGAAGATAAAAATCAGGTGTTGGAATATAGAATAAAGGATATGAATTTACTTAAGAGTTAGCAGAGGCAGCCTTTCTGAAGAAGTGATTTCTAATCTGCAAGATAATAATTTAAAGGCACTAGGTAAAAGGATTTCTGAAAGGTGGAGCACCTGTGTGAAGCCCCAGGAAATGGGAAAGGTTATATATGTCTTAGTAGCTGAAGAGATGCATTTGGATAGTATATAGGGAACAAAAGATGCCAAGGGCTTGAGATGAATTTGTGTAAAAAGACAGATCCTTTTTATTCATGATTATGTGTTTAGGGTTTTATTCTAAAATAAAGACAAACCATTGAAAAAATTACATAAAGCCATCTGATAGATTAATGTTAGAAATGTAGATGACCAGAACCTACTCCTCTAGATTCTGATACACTCAGTCTCAGCAGGTATCTAAAAGGTAGTGTATATAAGAAGCTCCCTCTATAATTTTGATCCACACTAAATATGAGAACTACTGACTTTTTCTCTTTGCCTACTCACAAACTTTATAGTTCTCAATATGAACTTTCATAATTTTCTGAGGCCTTCTTGCCTTTTAAAAATTTCATGACAGTATTTTAGGATTTTATGACCCTTTTACTTCTAGTGAATATACTTCTCAATTCATCACTATTTTTACTCTAGAAGGCCCCTCCTCATCCCCAGTATAGGAAAATAGCTTTGTTTATTTGTTTATTTTTGTTTTTTTGTTTATTTTTATTTTCTTGTTTTCTTTCAGACATTGATTTTACAACTGAGACCAACAAGTTATCTTCAGAAAAAAGCAGTTATGAAGTAAATTCATACCATCGGGAGACAATGAAAAGAAGTAAAACCTTCAACCTTACGAGGTTTATTTTCAGAAATGACCCACAGTGCAGAATTGAATTTGGGAGAGAACAGGTGCCTAACATGGGATGTTTTAGTCAAATGACATTTATAAAACATATATCTCTTCCTCTACATCAGAGAATTCACCCTAGAGAGAAATCCTATGAATGTAAGGAATGTAGGTGGGGCTTTAGAAAATATTCACACCTTACCAAGCATTTGAGAGACCATAGTGGTGTGAGACCCTATGAATGTAAGGAATGTGGAAAAGCCTTTTTAGTTCTCCAGCATTTTATTAGACATAAAAAAATTCACACTGATTTAAAACCCTATGAATGTAATGGATGTGAGAAGGCCTTTAGGTTTTATTCACAGCTTATTCAACATCAGATCATTCATACTGGTGTAAAACCCTACGAATGTAAGCAATGTGGGAAGTCTTTTAGACGTTATTCTCACCTTACTGAACATCAAAAAATTCATATCGGTTTGAAACCCTATGAATGTAAGGAATGTGGGGAAACTTTTAGATTGTACCGACATATGTGCCTACATCAGAAAGTTCATCATGGTGTGAAACCCTATATATGCAAGGAATGTGGGAAGGCCTTTGGTCATCGTTCAAGTCTTTATCAACATAAGAAAATTCATTCTGGTGAGAAACCATATAAATGTAAACAATGTGGAAAGGCCTTTGTTCGCAGCTATCTACTTATTGAACATCAGAGAAGTCATACTGGCGAGAAGCCGCATGAATGTAAGGAATGTGGGAAGACCTTTAGCAGGGGTTCAAGCCTTCTTAAACATAAGAGAATTCATAGTAGTGAGAAACTCTATGATTGTAAGGACTGTGGGAAGGCCTTCTGTAGAGGCTCTCAACTTACACAACATCAAAGAATTCATACTGGCGAGAAGCCACATGAATGCAAAGAATGTGGGAAGACATTTAAGCTTCATTCGTACCTTATTCAACATCAGATAATTCATACTGATTTGAAACCGTATGAATGTAAACAATGTGGGAAAGCCTTCAGTCGTGTTGGAGACCTTAAAACACATCAGTCAATTCATGCAGGGGAAAAACCCTTTGAATGTAAGGAATGTGGAAAAACCTTTAGACTTAATTCTCAACTGATTTATCATCAGACAATTCACACTGGTTTGAAACCATACATATGTAAAGAATGTAAGAAGGCCTTTCGTTCTATCTCAGGTCTTTCTCAACATAAGAGAATTCATACTGGTGAAAAACCCTATGAATGTAAAGAATGTGGTAAGGCCTTTAATCGTAGTGATCGACTTATGCAACATCAGAGAATTCATACTGGTGTGAAACCATACAAATGTAAGGAATGTGGAAAGGCCTTTACTCGTTGCTATCAACTTACTCAACATCAAAGATTTCATAGTGGTGAGAAACTCCTGATGTAATGAGAGTCAGAAAGCATTTAGCTTTGGCACATCCTTTACCATTATCACTATTCTACCACCCAATGATGTTATGGTAAAGATTATTTAACACAAACTTTAAATGCTTAGAGGGGCATCTGGCACATAGTATTTGCTTACTAAGTATTGTGTTTTTTTAATGATAATCACCATTATTACTATACATAAATTCATGTGGAAGGAAGACCCTATAACCATATTTTTAAAATGCATCAGTGCTCATCCATATTTTCTTCAGATAATTAATTCTGGACAAAATCCCATAGAATATATTAAACAAGACACTTTTTTATTCAAAGCTCAACCCCCTGAAGATTAATAATAAGAAACGCTGTGCCCGGCTGCCTGGGTGGCTCAGATGGTTAAGAGTCTGCCTTCGGCTCAGGTCATGATCCCAGGGTCCTGGGA